GATGACTTCCATTTTTTATGCTTTCACAGCCCTTTTTCTTTTCCTTAAGGCAGAGCCTCACACCTTACTGTTTTCAGAAAAAGCCTTCACAAAGGTGAGTTCCCCAACTCTCCTCAGCCGTGACAAACCACTCATGGATGAAAGTCTCATGGTGGTGCATTCCCTTCCACACTATGATGGGAGGCTGTGGCAACAAAACACTCATGGATTAAGGCCCTGCTGAGGTGCACTCCATTCCCTGATCTAACCAGCAGGGTGTACCAAGAAGCACTCATGGAAGAAGACCTCATGGCAGTACAGTTCCCTCCCCATTCCAATAAGGAATCTGAGTGATGACTATAGAAGAAACAATGCTACAGATGATGGTCTCACAGAGGTAAACTCCCCTCCCTTATATTGGCTGGATGGGTGGTACAAGAAGGTTTGCTGGCAGTGACCTCACAGAGGCATGTAGGGGTGGGGACTGGGCAGCCAAAATGGCCCTAAAGGGGCCTTTCCTCTGCCATGCCTTCCTGATGAAGGGAGGCTTCCTGCACAACTTGTCAGGCAGCAGTTGTGTTTGTGCAGCTTGAAAAGTACAGGGTAGTTGGGATAGGCAACCATTATGTTGGCCTTCTCATAAGACTATTAACATACATAGTTATGGCCACAGCAAGTTTGGGGTTTCAGGGACCAGCCTTTCTCCTGTTCCTCATCTTTTCCAAGCCTTGACTATAGATGGGCTGAGGTCCACCTAGCTTGAAAGTGGGTGGGGGAGTGAAAGGGAGTGCTGAAATAGCTTGTAAAACCCATTTAAAGGGAATGTTCCCTTTATTATTATTATACATTCAACCTATACCCCGCTCGAAACCCCCCCCCCCAAGGGGTCTCTGAGCGGCTTACATATTTCATTATCCCTATCTATGGGCACACACATATATGGTTTAGATGGGGTGGCCGCCACATGGGAGTGGAGTCCAAGTGCTGAATTCACCCAGAAGTGGTGAATACGCCCCTTGGACTCCACTCCCGTGCTGCGCTTGCTTGCAAAACCAGTTTAAAGGAAACATTCCCTTTAAATGGGTTTTGGAAAATCTCCCCCCTCCATTCTGCTGGAATTGGGTAGCCACTGCCAGCAGAAGCGAGGGAGGACAGATCTCCTGGGAAGGAGTTTCTTCAGTCTTTCAAGCTATGACAAAGATCTAGATACTAATACTCTTGGGTGCTAGGTGGTAATTGATTTGAAGTTTATGGAGGATTAGCAAGTAAAAGAATCTTATCTGCCCTTTACAAATTCACCAGTTTCTAACAGGGTCTCTCCTCTTCAGTCTTCTATGTTACCAAGGGTTTTATGGAATAAACACTTTTCTCTGTGTTTTAGAACATGATACCAATTTGGCATGGGAGGATCTGTCTATGTCCCATAAGCACGGGGTGGCTTTAAGGGACTGTGAAGAAATGTAGTTTTTTCTTTGGACATTTGAAATGAGCAAAACCTTCACTCTGAGTTCTACAAGTCCCCTCCCTCTGGGCAGAGAACAGGCAGGAAGGGGGTAAGTCAGTTCAATTGCTTTCCAGACTTACCTCAGCCTACCCTCATACAAATGCTAACAAGTCTAGACGATTGGATGGGCAAGCCCCCCCCCCTCCAAGCAGGGAACAGAGATTTGGAGGAATTAAATACTAGAGAGACTTCAGGAAGGAAGAAACTGGAGATCTCCAGGAAAAGCCTCTTTGACCTGGCCTGACTTGGTTAGTGGATGGGGAAAAGAGAGGTGATGACGCTCAGGGGAACAAGGAGGGTTTCTTTTGTGGAGTCCATCAGAGCAGACAGAACTCCTAACTGAGGTCTAGAGGAGGCAGCCATTAACCATGTGCTGGCTTGAAGATCTGGAAGGAAGCTTCAAGGTAATGAAAAATCTGTAGAGATCTGTAACTTCCTAAGCTAAGTAGCCTGTCCTATATTTTAACATCTGATAGGGCATGTATAGAGAGAGGGACAAAGGAGCTGCAGAGAGCAAGTTTGTAGTGTAGTGGTTAGGAGTGCAGACTCTAATCTGGGAGAACCGGGTTTGATTTCCCACTCCTCCACATGCAGCTGCTGGTGATGTTGGGTCAGTCACAGTTCTCTCAGAGCTGTTCTCTCAAGAGCAGTTCTCGGAAGATCTCTCAGCCCCACCTACCTCATAGGGTGTTTGTTGTGGGGAGGGGAAAGGAAAGGAGATTGTAAGCCGCTCTCTCCTTCGAGTAGTGAAGGGTGGAGTATGAATCCAATCTCCTCCTCTCCCCCCCTCCATTTATTTTGAATCCCTTGCTCAATCTGGTGCTGTGCTAAAAGTATTCTTGTGAACATTTTCTTTTTAATAAATACTTTATAACTTTGGGAGGTGGTAGTGGTTCTCTGTACCACACAGATCTCCACCGTCTTGGACATGCTATTTTAAAAGGAATGCTGGGGGAATGCAGTCATTTGGTAAATGGCTATTCCTCCAGGGGTACACAAGGCAGTAAATGGTCCCTGTGGTGACCAGGCACTGAGCAGTGGGAGACATAGAGGCAAGGCCCCAGAACTTGGAAGGGAAGCTCAGAGTCCTGACCCTCCCAGTGGGCAATTCCTTACAAAGGTCATGGGGTGGTGGCAGGTTACCTGAGAGAGAAAGCAAAGCCCCTCCAGGTGTTGGGAAAACCCAGGAGGGCAGGGTGGGATAGGGCCAGCAGGTCGGAGCAGACCCATTCTACCACAGGAACTAATCTTGTCTTTAGTTTTACAGTTTATTCAGTGTTTCACAGGATAGAGGAAAAAACATTTTTTCTCTTCCTTCATTCCTCTCTAGGAATGAGAGTAACTTTGCTTAAGCTTAAGGGTCCTTACTAAGGACTCAGACCTTTGAGTCTAGCCTGGGGGACCTTGCAAAGTCTGAGGCACTGCTTGTTTCTTTTAGCATGAGAGTCATTTTCTCTGTCAAGATCAGGGGGTTATGGACCTATCAGTCTAGGGACACAGTACCCCTAGTGAAAATGTTTACGTACAGGATTCCTCCCCTGAGGGACTTTATATTGGGTAGTCACTTGAGAATCATCTTCTCTTGACATTTGGGTTATAATACCTTAGTTTCGATGGATTCTTCTTGGCATTTTGGCTAAGTACCCAAATTCATGCTGCACATGTACCTTTTCTTGCATGGTACTTGCATGGTACTTAGCAGCACAATCACGAAGAACAATGCTTAGTAAGTACACATCCAAAGCTAAGTTTCTGATATGTAGGTAATATGAAGGGAATGGGCTTGAACTGTTAAAAGGAGAGTCAGAAGCAAACTTTTGGTTCTTTTAAAATGTAACAAAAAGTTATTGCTACTATTCTACTTAATGGCATATTTTTATACTGCCTTTCTTTCAAAAAAGTCAGGGTGCCAATCATCATCCCCTGAAGGGGCTACATGGTAATTTAGGCTGATAGATAGTGATTAAGCTATGGTTATTTAGTGAGGACACTATATACGATGTTTTCCTCACATCATCCCTGACTCACATGATAAGACAAGCATTGCAAGTTCCAGCCTGGGCAAATAGTGCTGCACTTACCTGTAACTTGTTTGTTGAGTTGTCTTCTGTGCAGCCACACATTCTATCCCCAGGTTCATACCCAAACGTCTAAGCTATTGAGTCCAAGGTATACCCCTCAACCACTGCTTTAGTGGATTATAGAACCCAATCTGTTACAGGGGTTCAAGTCCAAACTATTTCTTTAACCACCGATGCTTCTCTCCTGAGTTGGGAAGCATACTGTGCTAATTCCTCGGTACAGGTACTTGGTCCTCTTTAGAGGCTTCCTTATACATCAGTGTTTTGGAACTTAGGCCAATTTGCCTTGCTCTTGCTTCTTTTACAGACCTTCTTTGACACAAAATCATGCAGGTGCAAACCAACAACACCACTACTGTGCTCTGTATCAACAAACAGGGCACCGTTTTGATATCTCTCTGTGTGGAAGCACATGTGCAGTCCCAATGTGGTGCCCAACCACATACAGTCTAATTTGGATTGTGCTGCAGTGCATGGGGAAGAGTAGGTTTAAGACTTCCTCCCAGCACCTTGTTCTCAACGTGAAATGGCCCCAAGGGTGTTGCTGTATGCCCCCCCGAGGAAACTCCATGTACTGGTGAGATACATGTAGGAGAGAGGCCTTGGGTAAGTGATTGAGCAACTGTTTTGCATAAAGAAAGTCCAGGTATAATCCTTGGCATCTCCAAATAAAAGGATCAGGTATTAGATTATATGAAAAACCTCTGCCTTGGACCCTGGGGAACCACGGCCAGTCTAAGGAGACAATAGTGACTTGAATAGGACAAGGAACAGATTTAGTATAAAGTAGGTTCATGTGTTAACCATTTTAGGTCAGGAAAATAGCACACTGGGGAGGCTTAAGCCCCTCTCCCTGTGTAGTGTGTTTCTAATCCAAATCAAGCCCAGCATGACTGGGAATTAAGTTCCAAGGATGGAATTTATGACTCATGTCTGCCCAACCCAAACCTGGGGAGGGTACAAGGACAATATAACATGTAGTTAGGCCCTTGAATCCAGATCTCACAGCTCCAGTTTCAACATCCTCTCAACTACATGGTATTGCCAATAGTGCTGATGGAAATTTGAAAGGTGGTCAGGTATCAAAATGAATACCAATAACATTCCTCCAGAGTTAATATTTAGTCATGAAGAATATCCAGATCTCAAAACTACTCACAGAGCCTCAAAACTGCTCACATTTATAAAGAGTGCAATAAACCTTGGCAGAATTATATAGTGATTTACATTTAGGGTTCATTCTAGAACACAGGAAGAACAAATGATTTTCTGAATTCCTGAGAGAAGTAGCTGGAGGATGGAGGTCATCCTTTGAAAGTGGATCTTTGTGACCTGTATAAATAACTCCACAAATACTTCCAAACTAGTAAAAGGTCACAACAGGGTCATGGCTGCAGAACCCCAAAACTATTGTTTTCCTTAAGGAGTACACTTACCGTGTAAACCTCTCATCCTTCATTTCCAGGTCTGCCACTGTGATCAATTGATCAAGTTTAAATTTAGTGTCAATAATTTCAGCATCCCGTGGAGAGTACGTGCCTCCTTCTTTTTGCTTTTGTCGAATTCTAAGCCAAAAACCACAGGTAAAGTTGAGTGGGAAAGAATGTTAAGTATCGACCATAACTTCTGACTTCACAAGACAATCTTCAGTAAAAATTATACTCAATATTTCAAAGGGTTAGTAGTATGAAAACAGTAATAAGAAGAAAAGTGGTGCTGGTCACTGTTTTTGTGTTGAGATATATTCCACTTATTTATTTCTTGGCATATTTGCTAAAGTTAGTACTTCAAAATAATGTTGAAAAACAGTTATTTACTATGTCAAATATATGGTGTAACAATATAGAAAATTAGACTGAATACAGTTTTGTAGTATAATGACAAATTAAATTTTAAAAAAGCACAGAAGATAGCATCGCTGCCTGCTCTCCTACCAAAGAAACCCCAGAGTATTTTGCTGTTACTTTTACACACACACACACACACACACACACACACACACACACACACACACACCCTTTATTGGCATGAAAGCACAAAACTTCATGGAAATATGGGAAAATACTAAGATGCATCAGTCATTTACACTTGGGTATTCAAGTCATCAGAATGCCAGCTCTTACCCTCTAGAAGTGGAGTAATAAAACGAGATCGGATATCCCTATAAAGGGAGCAATGAAGTATGGTGTGTGTAGTGGATCTTTTAGAGAGCAAGGGCAAAGTCTGTCTACATATGGTATCTGGCGGTACCTCCCTAAAAGCACCTCCGATGGCAGAACATTAAAGCGTTCAAGCATGTATGCTCTGCGATGATGTGGGGCAGTTAAACTTGACAGACACTTCGCAGTAGAGCCCATGTCAAAAGTCTACAACCTGCTTGCGGAGCATCTGCTGGTTGCGCGTTCTGTAAGTTCTTGCCTTTTGATGTCAAGAAATCTTTGTTTAATAATAGCATAGGCTTGTTTATCTGAAAAAATTACTTTTACAAAAATAGCTACTTTACTGTTAACAGACTTATTGACAGCTATCAATATATTTTCTCTCTTCTGCTTAGTTGCCCAGAATTTATTTTTGGTTAGCAACACTGGGTTAAACTTTTTTTTAAAAAAAACTGGGAATAGAGTTTACATAATAAATATTCCCCCCTTCCCTCTTTCTGCTGGAGTCCCTTTCTTTTCCTGAAAGCTGCTCCTATGTGTTGGGGAACGGTCAGAAAATGCATGGGACTACATGGGATGGTGCAAGTCGGGGTCATGGAACCTGCAGAGCCCTTTTGCCCCGCTGCATAACCCTGACTGCATTTCCACTTGCCATTTGCTCCTTTAGATTCCAGCACATGGACTGTATTTCAACAGGTAATGAGGAGGACCCTCAGTTTCCCTAGAGCCAAAACTATAACTTCAACATTCATACTGGGATTCTGATACCTTTCTTTTAGAACTTCCACAGCAACAGACTGAAATCTAAGAGTTGTGTAAGTTATGGTATACAACTCCTTAAATCCAACAAATACTTCAGACATGAATGCATTTCTTAAAAAAATTAAAAATGACAAGAAAAGTCTGTGACATCTTAATGCTGCTTGGCTGTTTTGGTTATCAATATTATTAAATCCAGTTTTGCTATTCAATGGCGGAATAGCTATTTAAAGGCAAATACTCAAATCAGTGATCACAAATGAAATCAAGATTTTAACTCTTTCCCCACGGGCACTTATCTGAGATACCTGCCATATTGGGCTGCATTTAGGAAGTTATAGCCATTCCATCTTAATGATCCTAATGTAATAATTAAGACTAAAAATAAGGCCCTTAGATTACAGACCCTTGTCCTGCTTCTTCATAAAGGCCCACGTATTAGATGGACATCTCAGTAAAGCTTTCAAAACTTTATTTGGGCCACTTCAAGAGTAGCACTGAATAATAGCTTCCACATTTATGCTCCAGATAACAGCTGCAGCTACATTTAGCCTTTAAAACATTTAGAGCTGTAGTAATAGATCTTTCGTATCATCTCCAAAAACGAATTCAGCTACAAATTAATATAAACACACAGACACACACACACACACACATATATAGATAGATATAGATATATTTGTGCTGCAAGAATACTGCAACATTAGACCTAGTGGAGAAAAGTCCAGTTGATTCCACTATTTAAATCTAAAATAATTCAGCTGAACAACCAGTGATGTACTTACCGTGCAAAGGCATAGATCGCTGCCACAAGAAGAATCACAGAGAGTATGCACAAAGTAACTGCAAGTATTATTTCTACAGCTCTTTCAGATAGTCCATCACCTGTAGTATATAAAGCAAGCAAAATCTCAAGTAAATGTTTAAGGAAAACTAATATTATTTATTTGATTTATATCCCATCCTATCCCACAAGTGGGCTCAGGGCGGCTTACAGCATAAAATCAATAAAACAATAAAACCAATGAAACAGTAGATGGCACAATAAACAACAAACCCCGTGCCTTATATCAGGTGAATATAGGTACTCCAGAAAATTCCAGTGCCCAATAGTATTGTCTGAAACAGCAAGACACTGGGAAGGGGCCATAAATTGGGGAGGCCAGAATGGTTGAACATCTGCCACCTCAACCAAAAGCCTGGAGGAACAGCTCCATTTTACAGGCCCTGCGGAAATATCATAAAGTTATTTTCAATTATTCATTAACTAATAATAAGGCCCGTTGCGGAAATGAATGCAATGGCCTCTAGAAAGAGGGTCTGGAGACTCTTCGGGGAGAGAGAGAATCGGAGGGAGGGAGACAGAAAGAAATCGCGAGACCCTGGGGCTGAGGGCAGTGGAACGGTCCGTAAGTGCCTTTCCTCCTTTCCTCTGGGCTGATCCACATCCTCTGTCTCCCTGTTGACCTCGCTGCCGGCAGTAATGGTGAAAGTCCCCGGCAGGTGCAGTGGCTACCGCTGTTCCCCTGGGGCCGCCAGATGTGGGAATGGGGGGGTGCCAACGCCTCCCTCTGTCTTGGCTCGTCTGAGGCAGAAGCGCTGGGTGGTGGGGAAGGAGTTGGGAAGCAAGGCTCCGCAGGGGGAGCTGTGGGGGCTGCGCGGGGTGTAAGGCAGACACGGCTGGCCCTGGCAGGGGGAAGACCGATGGGGCCTGTCCCTCCTCAGGCAGGCACGGGGTGCCCCGGCTTCCCGGCGGAACTGATAGCGAGAGACGTGGAGGCGAGAGCTGCTGGCCACCCCGCAGAGCCAGTGACGGAACCGCTACAATCTGCTTTGTCAGCCCTCCACAGAGGCCGGGGCCAAGGGAAACGGGCTGCCGGTGGCTGACCATGATGACGGCAGTGGCTTCATGAGAGGGCTCAGCCTCATCACCACTCTGCCGCCAGAGCGTCCGTCCTGCGTGGTGGCTCTCAGCATACTGAGGTGGAGACGCTGGGCACCACTTGTGTGGGAGGGAATTAGGGAACATAGCCAATGGATAGAGAGACCTTGTGATTGACATAGCCGGCAGCCAACTGATTTTGGCGCGCATCGAATCTTGCCATGCGAAAACACGATTATATATAAGGAGAGATATAAATAAAATAAAAGCAAATACATTTCCTGCAAAAGTACTTCTTTATTTCATATATTTTAGCAGAGACTAGAAAAACGTATTTTTAAGGATTATCTACTATTATAGTTTTCTAAATATAGTTATACTATTATTAGGGCTGGGTCCTGACCAGAAATCTAGCAATAGCATAACAGTAGTAACTGTTGCTGGTTCAAATAGCACCAGAAATTTTTCCTTGCCATGCTGAGATGCACAGTAGCATCTCACAAAGAGTTTTCTGTAGTTCTTGTGGAACACATGCCAAAAGATGGATGAGGAAGAATGATGGGAGAAAAGAACGACAGAAAAGAACCACCAGCAAGGGATACACAGACCCTTACATGGCCAGAGTCTTTTATAGTATCTGACTCGGAACAAGGCTTTTTTAGGTTGTGAAGGCCACCATTTGCAAATCGGATCCTTATTAATCTTAAATTGTGAATTAGGGGTATTTCTGACCAATGTTCTCAACATCTCCTTGGTGTTTTAAGTTACAGAGCTTCTTGAAGGAACTCAAGAACTGCCACTATGTCAGGATTCTTAAGATTCTTGTACCTTGAGCAGCATTATTGGGAGGTTTGTGACAGTATGTTGTACATTTCATTAGTGACAACTTGCATGAAACTGGGACTGCATCCACACATCATTGGATGTTGTGCTATAGCAGGGGTGGCCAAACTTGCTTAATGTAAGAGCCACATAGAATACACGTCAGATGTTTGAGAGTCGCAAGACATGAAAAAATATTACATGTTTTTACTGGGAAATATGCAAATTTGCTTTGTATTAACATTAAATGAGACTGCCAAATATAATAACAAAAGCAGTAAAAGCAGATATTGATAATGATATTTATTTGTCCAATGATACTTGTTTGCTAATGATATTTAGCTTCCCCAGCTGCCACAATATGTGTGAAAGAGCTGCATGTGGCTCCCGAGCCACAGTTTGGCCACCCTTGTGCTATAGCAATCATTTCTCTGGCAACCAGAATACTAACTTTTTGTCTATGACAGTAACGGGGCATTTTTAGCCTCCTTAATAATTTTTTCAAACAAACAGTATTCTTTTGTGAAGCCTCGATTTTATCAAAACCATACACCCTAGCTTTGTGTGGTCCCATTGAGTGGAGTTTTTGACCTTCACAGTGAGGGCACATTCGGCTATTAGATGTATAATTAATTGTCTTTCTACCTCTTCAATCTGTCCATTAGATCTTGATTTCAGAAAACTCAGTAGTTGAGTGGCCAATAATGACCAGTGTGGGCCAGTTACATCATTACATATATCTTGTCCCAGCTGTGTTGGCCAGTCAATGTAATGCATTCACACGATTTTGCAAGAAAAAGATGAAAACTGCACCATCACTCTCAACATCTGCTGGAAAGTGAGCCCATTCCCTTTGTTCAAAAACTTGTTGCTGAGATTATAGCCGGTACTAGACCTGACTCATTACAAAACATAATGGGTAATTTGGCCCTAAAAGTGCCTCCTTCATCTTCATTTCCTGCAGACACTTGCATCCCTTTTAGACTTGACTACTGTAATATATTGCAACAATTTTCAGGCTCTCCAGTTTAACTACCTGGATGTTTTTTTAATGGTATTTTCAGTTTTTATTAGATTTTATATTTATTGCTACTTTTATGTTAGCTGTTTTGAATGCAGGAAAACTAGGGTAGAAACCCCGTATATAAATATAAAAACACATTAAAACTTGTATATGGACTGGAGCACAGGCAAGCTATCCCATGGCACTGGAGCCGTGCAAGAATGAAACAGCACAACTCAATATTTTTAAAGTAAGCGTGCAGGTCAAGTTTAGTATGGCTTTTTAGCAGAAGGGCCACAAAGTACACAGTGCTACTAGTGTAGTAGTAACATTCTCCTTACCTAAAGTTTTGATGGGGTCAGAGTAGTCTGAATCTGTATATTGGCCTTTGACATTTGTGGCTCTGAACTTAAATCTGTAAAAATAAATAGAAACTGCCATAATGGGCGACTGATGATCTACCAAGCACATTATACATTCTGTATCTAGCAATGTACAGAATCCAATAATGATAAAATAAGGACATCTGGCCATGAGTTATGGAGTGCCTGCAAGCAATGCTCCCTCTAACCTGTGGAGTCTTGTGAGCAAAAATTCTACTTGGTGAGCTACTGGCATTAAAGTTGTGAGCAAGCGATTTGGCTGCTGCATAAATTAGTTTGCTCTGGAGCCATCCTTCCTGAGCTGAGACAAAAATCTGTGAGCCGGAGGCTAGAAAACTGTGAGCTAGCTCACACGAACTCAGCTTAGAGGGAACACTGCCTGTAAGCAATGTTCCCTCTAAGCTGTGGAGTCTTGTGAGCAAAAATTCTACATTCTGAGCTGCTGCCATTAATGTTGTGAGCAAACGATTTGGCTACTGCATAAATTAATGTGCTCTGGGGCCCTTCTTCCTGAGCTAAGACAAGAATCCATGAGCTGGAGGCTAAAAACCTGTGAGCTAGCTCACACTAACTCAGCTTAGAGGGAACACTGCCTGTAAGTTAGAGTTTATAGGTATTTATAGGCTGTGGTCAGATGAGCTGTTTTGATCCATTGTCATTGCTCCTCCTAAACGGATTTGAATTGCACAATCAGATGGCAACATCTGGATTCCAATCCATAGTAATCAGCCCCCTGTACTTACCCCTGACTTTCCCAACACCGGAGAAAGTCTGGTATTTAGTGATCATGCTGGTTTCACAGAACATCTCTGGATGTCTGATCACTCTTCTTGCAAAGTTCAAGCCATTGGGGAAGCCAGATCACTCACTTCCATCTTTGCTGCCATTTAATTTTTTGGCAATTAGCAATGTGTGCATAGGTGGATATCTGCTTGCTATGTTTCCTCATCCATAATATTTTGAAGAGATTGTGAGCCTTTCTCCTGTTTTGGGGATGTTTTGAGGGAGCCGTGCTTTGAACAGGTTTCTGTGCAGGTTGCTGGGTCTCTGTTGCAGCCTCTTCAGCTCAGCCAGCCCCCCCCCCCGAGTTTTCTTTGGTGATTGAGGACTCAGCTGGCAGGGCTCAAGTGAGGTGAGGACTCAGCCTCAGCCCAAAGGCTAGCCTCTGTTGCTGGGTTGGTGGGGTGGGCTTAATGATGATGGCAGCAGTGGGGTTGCTGGGGACAGCCAGAGAAGGAACTAACCCCTCCACCACCCTCCATGGCAGCAAGGCATTGGGTATATCGGGGATTGTGGTGGGGGTTGCAGAAACCAAAAAAAAAAAGAAGCTGCCCCACTGCCCACTCCATGGTTGCAGTTGGGTAGGGGTGGGATGTCTGATCCAACCACTCCAGAACTAAAAAATTCCAATCAAGTTAGAAGCACAGCCACAACAGAATAAGCACACTGTCTGATCGCAGCCATAGGATGCTTGCACACAATAAAAATCCTAATTTAACATGAGGCATTCCTTGATCATGCAGAACAGAGAGGCTGGATGGACATATCAAAGACCTCAATGGCCTGATGTTGTGTCAACACATCCGCCCATCCACACATGACAAAATAGGAGATTGCTTTATATCAGTTTTTCCATGTGGTCTAGAAATTGGATAGAAAATTCCATGTGGTCTAGAAACTGGATAGAAAACAATGCTACCACAGTGAAGCTTGCAAAGTTGGACCTTCACTGCCTCCTTCCTGCAGCAATCTACTGCCCCCAAATTCTGTTCCTGGGGGATCAAAGAAGTGCATGGGAGGAGGCAAAGTGGGGCCCAGCAGTTGGAGGGTGGAAATGGAGAAAATTGCCCTCTGCTCCTCCACCAGTGGAAGTATTGTTCTGAAGGCAGACTAGCACCTTCGGATCAAAATTAGTTTTTTAAAACTGATTTTACATTTACATTTATTTTTAAGTAAGCTTTAGTTGTCTTTCTGAAAGGATCATTAGAATATTAATATATTTTAGCTCCGAAGTAATATTAATTACAGAGATAGAAAATGTAAATCATATACTTACAAGTATTGTTTTTTGGGTTTCAGTGGGCCATTACAAATTTTTTCTTCACTGCCTGGTATCATACATGTACTGTCAGCCCCTATTACATACACGTCATCATTGCTGCTCAGGCCCTCATTTCCTGTTATACATGGAGGATTTGGAAAGCCATAATTTGCAAAATATGGTTTTGGTTTTTTGAAGTAGGCATCATACCACTTGGTTACATTGCTATCATTCTGAACTAGAGTCAGAAAAAATAGTCACAAAAATAAATTAATCAAACTACAAAAGATGTCACAAAATAGATTTATTTAGATAACGAAGTAATTCTAAGAACATATTCTATTGAATTAATATAAAATACATGGTAATGTGTATGACTTCCCATATAGCTACTATATGGGACTTCCCATATAGCTACTATATAGCTACTATATCACCACCCCTCAAAAAGGATATTATAGCATTGGACAAAGTGCAGAAAAGGGCAACTAGAATGATAAAAGGGTTGGAACACTTTCCCTATGAAGAAAGGTTAAAACACTTGGGGCTCTTTAGCTTGGAGAAACGACAGCTGGGGGTGACATGATCGAGGTTTATAAGATTATGCATGGGGTAGAGCAGGTCGAGAAAGAAGTACTTTTCTCCCTTTCTCACAATACAAGAACTCGTGGGCACTCCATGAAATTGCTGAGTGGTTGAGTTAGAACAGATAAAAGGAAGTACTTCTTCACCCAAAGAGTGATTAACATATGGAATTCACTGCCACAGGAGGTAGTGGCAGCTACAAGCATGGACAGCTTTAAGAGGGAACTGGATAAACATATGGAGCAGAGGTCCATCAGTGGCTATTAGCCACAAGGTATAGATAGGAACTCACAGGCTGGGGCAGGTGATGCACTGTATTCTTGGTGCTTGGGGGAGGCAACAGTGGGAGGGCTTCTAGTGTCCTGGCCCCACTGATGGACCTCCTGATGGCACATGGTATTTTTGGCCACTGTGTGACAGAGTGTTGGACTAGATGGGCCATTGGCCTGATCCAACATTGGCTTCTCTTATGTTCTTATGTACTGCTACCATATGAAGGTGTCTACAAGTATTCCAAAAGAAAAATAAACAGCATAATTTTTTTAAAATGAGTGCAACTATGTATGACTAACTAACAAGTGAGAATAATACCTGTAGTTTCCAATTTAATAAGACAGGGATACCTCTTACATACCTCATACATAGGAGGTAGGTATATAAACAAACATTTAACAATTAGAACAACTGAGAATAACTGAGTTTCAAATTTTTGCCCACCTGAAAAAAAGTATTATTCTAACAGATGTAGCACACCTGAAGAAGGAATTTCGGCTGTGACAAAATCAAGGCTATGCCATCAAGGCCAAAAAAAGAAAAGAAAAGAAAGTAAAAAGAAAAAGGTGAACATATTTAAGCATTTTTTAAAAAAGTTTTCCAGTACCTCCTAATTCTGCAACAAGAACCTGTATTTTCTTGATAGGTCCATGATCATCACTATAGTAACAAATGGGCATGCGAATAGTAATTGTTGTAGCAGTGACAAGCAGCGTTCCACTGGTATCAGAAACTGGCATAGGCTTCTTGCTGGGCCTTGGTGGTTCTATTTGAAGACAAATAAATATTACAATGCTGATCTGTCATATCGTCTTCTAATGAAGGGAGTCAAATGTCCTTGTAATGTTCTAATAGCCCAACTCCAATAAACCCATGACCAAAGGCAGCAGCTCAGATTATTCAGCATTAAGAATCCCAGTATTTAGAAAGCAGCAGCAATCAGCTTCGATACGCCAGCATTTCTATGTATCCCTTTTCCAATCAGGGGTGAGAGCCCCTTGCATGTTTCAAGTGGTAGTGGGAGCCATGGGACTGGGCTCTTTTTGTAGCAGGTACTCATTTGCATATTAAGTGACACACCCCTAATGTAGCCAATCCTCCAAGAGCTTACAGTAGTTCCTGTAAGAAAAGCTCTGTAAGCTGTTGGAGGATTGGCTACATTAGGGGGTGTGGCCTAATATGCAAAGGAGTTCCTGCTACAAAAAGCAGTGATATTTTGCTAACAAAAAGTCACGTAGAATTGAATCTCATCTACACTAACACTATATACATTATATTGTGGGTTGAGATGAGACTACTTTTAAAATAATTTTATACTGCAGGAATAGAGCAAAATATTATGCAGACTAATTCCTGAATGTAAGTCAGTTCTGCTGATTTCAAGGAAATTACTCCCTAATAATGGTGTTTTGCATTAGTGTGGGAGACAAATGGGTCTATTTAAAATTACTGCTCAAGAGTATCACAGATTTGGTACAGATTATTGCTAACAGTTAACATAAATTACCATCAGTAGTGGGATTGGAAGGAAGGTGTTAAAGCATCCAGCCTTGTGGGCATTATTCTAGGATAGTCATCTCCTAGAGAATGTATGTTGATCAGCTGCTATGGCTTCAGTGAAGATCAATGGAAGTCTCACATGCAGGAAACAGTTTTGCTCTTTGGCTATTATACAGCTGATATTGTTATTTATTAAATATATATCTTTATTAAAACTGTAAAAGCATCATCCATGCCTACCTTTAATGTCTGTAGTTATTTTCAGTTGGATTTTTGGTCCTGCACCAGCTCCATTGATTGCATACACCTAAATGCAAATGAAACTTCCTATCACATCAGTTTAACCGACACATACACTGCTTAAGAGCCAATGCTCTGTATGTGTGTTGTGTGTACTCAGTAATATAATATTTAAAGCTTACATAAAGTCAGGGTTGGATTTTAAACACACTTGCACTGAACTAATTTATTTTTTATGTTTACAGGTCAGAACTGGCCCTACAATTTTTTTCTGACAACTGTCATATTTTTAATTTACAATTTAATGAATGGAAAATATAACTGGAAATCAAGACATGCATTTAGCTTTGTTTTACTAACTCTGTCAAGATATATGCTAATATAAAGAAGCAGAAATGTAATTCAGCTTACACTGATATTGTATGTACGTCCTCCTTTTAGTCCCTCTAGCATGGCAGTGACTGACATGTTTGTTCTATCTATAACACTTAAGTTATAGATCTGGATGACATTAGGATCATCATCTTTGTAGACCATTGCTTGATATGCTTGAATATTCCCATTGGATTCAGATGGTGGCATAAATGTCACCTGGAACTTTGTCACTTCATCAGGTATCTTCTGAAATGTTATGTTGTTAAGTGGGTCTTTGGGCACTGAAAGAATTTTCCATAAGTGAGTTTTTGAATTTTGATTTATTTGTAACTTTATTTTTATTAAATTTCAAAAATAAATAACCATTCAAACTATTCAAACAATAACATATCACTCAAAAATTCAGTGGAGCAAAGTCATATTGATTACACTTTAACTTTTACAATTAATAAAATAAAATCCACTTATTTTACAGGTAAGGCACTAGTACTGTCATTTGTTTTAGTTATGTATTCAAAAAATGCAAACAATTTTTTCAGAAAACAATTTTTTTGTGTAGGATTTTCTGCTGCCAGTATTAATAAAGCTAACTTATCCATTGCTATAATATCCCATATTTTAAAAAACCATTGTTTAATGGTAAGTGTTTTTTCTGTTTTCCAAAGTTGTGCCAAAGTCGTCTTTGCTGCTATTAACATCAGAGCCACAAGCTCTTTCTTGTTCTGTGTCAAGGGTGAATTGTCCCAGTGGTTAAGCAGTATTCCCTCCGGGGTTTGGCGGATTTGTATGTCCAATATTTCTTCAATTTTTGTGACTATTGCTGTCCAAAATAATTTAACTTTTGGGCAAGACCATTAGCGGTGAAACAGTGTAACTGTTTGGCCACATCCTTTCCAGCATTTTGGATCTTTCTTTGCTTTAGAATGATACAGTTTAAGTGGCGTTATGTACCATCTGGAGAAGAGCTTGTATTCTGAAGTCTTATATTAAGGGATCTAGTGACATACAAACTGGAAGACCAAATTTTTGCCCATTGTTCCGGTGTTAGGGATATTTCACAGTCTCTATGCCAGGCTTGTTGTTGTGCAGATATTTTAGACCAATATCTAAATGCCAAAGATTTATACAGTTTTGAAATAACTCCTTTTTGGTCTCGAATACTTTTCTCTATTGCCCTTTCAAAGCATGTCAATGGGCGATTGGTACTTTTTATTATGTTATTACTTTTTAACATATAAGTCAATTGTTGATCATGAAGCCACGGGATTTTAAATGTATGTTTAAGTTCTAATTGTTCCCTTGGCCATTTTTTTCCTTCTTTACAGAAGTCGCTTATTCTAAATTTTCCCACCTGTCTCCAGTTTTTATATGAAGAAACCTCTTCCCCCGGGGCAAACCACGGCTGTCCCAAGAACGCTGATACAGGTGAGACGCCTGGTGCTAAGATTTCTCTATTCTTAAATTTTGATTTATTTGTATAAAAAATCCAGATGCATCATAATATAAAGAACAAGATACCTGCTTTTGGATACCTGGATAATATCACTGCTCTTTTCAGCATTATATTTTAAATAGACCACCAAAGCAATACAGTTAAGTATATTAAAAAAACCTTTCCCAGAATGGTATAACTTAGCTGCCATAAAGAGACAAAGGCTAATTTCACACATATTGGATAATGCACTTTCAATGCACTTTAGCAACTGTTTACAAGTAGATTTTCCTATTTCACACAGGAAAATCCAGCAGCAAAGGATTGCTAGAGCACATTGAAAGTGCATTATTTAACATGTGTGAAATCAGCCAGTGGTTTTCCTGTTTCTCCCTCCACAGCTGCCTGAAATGCAATCCCACCCCACCTTGTTCTTAGGGGAGGAGCGACTCCTAGGAATAAGATTTCAGGAGGCCATTTTGGGCCAACATGGGAGAAAATAAATGTGAAAATTGCATTCAGTGAGTGGAAATCCTTGTGTCCACAGAAAAGTTAGTCTGGATCTAAGCCACTGATTTGTTCTATTATCATTAAAAGGCTCTGATCTGGTTTTATCCCAGCTAGTGAGTGACACTTTTCCTAAGATCCTTTCTTTGCAAATTTGAGGCCATCATCATTTGCAGCTACAAAGACCATTGGAAACAATGTGGAGAAACCCCTATTCATTTCTGTTCCCTAGGTATCTACAACAAACCTTTTTGGAACTGAAATATCCACCTAGAATCATAGAATCACAGAGTTGGAAGGGGCCATACAGGCCATCTAGTCCAACCCTCTGCTCAATGCAGGATCAGCCTAGAGCATCCCTGACAAGTGTTTGTCCATGATGAAGTCAAGGAACAGATTAACAAAACCAAAATGTCACCCAGAGAAAACTTGTTGCAAGACAGGACCAAAAGAGACAATAACAGAACACCACTAGTGGTCACATATAGCTCACACTTCAAACAATGCATCATCAGCGACTTACAACCTCTACTGGATAATGACAGTTCTGTTAGCTGAACTGCTTTATCTACAGCAGTTGGCAAAATTTAAACTGGGTTCCTGCCAATGTCTACCAAGGTCAAGTTCCCACCAAGGGTCGCCAGTAAAAGGAGTTGAGGCTGGTAGTTCCAAATAATCTGTCTTTTACTTAAAAATATATATATCACATACAAACAATACTGATACACGCACACACTCAAGCAAGTTCCTTAGAAATACAGAGTTAAAATAGTCACTTTTGCATTAGCAGGTATTGTGATGAGGGTTATACTTATCTGTCCTGAAGCTTGTCAGTTCCAATGAAGAATGGATGGGAAGAAAAATAGAATTCTAGGGAAGTTTAACACACAGCTAGAAACCAGCCAGCATGTGCGGGCAGTAGAGGCAAGGATTTGGGTATAGGAAGCTGGACAAAAGAGGAGTTCAAAGCAGACAGGGGGTGTTGAGGGGATGGCGGCTAGCAAAGGCCAGGTGACTGGTCCTTATCTTTTATAGGTGGATCTTTGGGTGGGTGGCAAGTATGCCAACCTGTGGACCCACCTACTTGTTAGTCCGTCCCAAAACTGATCCTATTGGTTGTGTGCCGTGAGGGGTGGCAACCTAGAGGGTTGGGCAATATTGTAACTTAAGATCTAACTCAAAGTAGGGCATCTGTGAAACTGTGAAACTTGGCGTCAAGGAACCTCCTTGATGTGCATATGAAGCTTGGCCATTCCCAGGTCATCAAACGGTCCATCTAGCAGGAAATGCCATTCAGAAATAAAGCAAAGATGTGGAATACGTGTCTTTCAACAATTCAGCAATGGGGGCTGCTTCTCCTTAGTTGTTGTTTCTTATTTATTTATTAGATTTTTATCCCGCCCTCCCGCCGAAGCGGCTCAGGGCGGCTTACAACACGTTTCTGCTGACAATATGGAGATGTGTGCTTTCCCTCACCAGGCTGGCAGTGTAGCTCAAAACCCATTCACATGTAAGGATTTGTGGAAGCACCCTCCATGTGCAGTGCCACAACAGGTGACCTGCACAGCCACCTGAGCCCATGGGTGTGTGTGCATGCGCACAGTCCATTTGTGTGTGCGTGCAGCAGCAAACATAACCCAAATATCAGTCTCATCCCCCAACAGTTTGTATGCGGGGGGGGGTCAACCTTTTCTTGCACACAGACAGCCCCCCCAATCTTTTTTGGGGGTATTGTTTTGTATTTTTCATGTGTGTGTGTGTGAGTGTGCACCTGGAAGTCATGACTGACCCCTATTGGGAGCCTGGAGGATATTCAGAGGGGTAGCTGAATAAAGCCTGCCCCCACCTCCTGACTGCTGGTATTCCAAGGAGGTCTGCCATCCAAGCACTCACCAGAGTAAACCATAATGAGGTTGGACTTGCCTGCGCTATCCAGATCAGGGACAGCCCCCCAGTCTTAAACAACTCCTCACCCCCAATAATCTATATATCTAATAGCGAAGGCGCTCCCTGCGTGCGGATATCTAACTCTGCACATCGGGGGCACCTGAGGGGCAGGGAGATTTTCCTGCACATTTGGGGCAGTGCCCAGGTGTGCACAAAAATAAAAAAAGTTGAAAAAAATATAGGGGGGATATTTAAATCCCCCTCAAAGTAAAAGAGCCTTCCCTGCACATGCGCAGGGACCACTCTGGGAACTCTATGGTGGGCTGGTGGTTGGAAGTCGCTCAGGCCTTGCCACAGGAGGAGGGGGGAGGAGGAGATCTGTGGCAGTGGAGGAGACCGCCGGAGCTGAGAGACAGGAGGAGATCGGCGGCGGCAGGGGGGAGAAGGAGATCAGCAAGGCCGCTGGGGCCTTGCCGCCAGAGCCAGGTGGTTGTGGAGGAGACCGGGTGTGTGTGGAGGAGATTGGCGAGGCCCGAGCAGCTGCTAGCCACTGGGGCCTCGCTGCCGGAGCCGGGGGGTAGAGGAGACCGGGGGAGGGGATCTGCGAGGCCTGGAGGCTGGCAGCTGCATGAGCCTCACCACCAGAGCCAGGGGTGGTGGTGGAGAGGGGGTGGAGGAGACCAGGGATGGGGGGGAAATCAGCGGGCTTGGTGGCTGGCAGCCGCTCAGGCCACACTGCTGGTGTCCGGGGATGGGGGGGGAGGAAGGCTTATATGCTGCTGTTGCTGCTTCCTCCTCCTCCTGCTCTGCGTGGAGCTCTTCTCCCCCCCCCTTGCGAGTATCACGGGTCCCCTTTCTTGTCCTTATTCTATTAGCCAGAGGATTTTTGTGTGTGCGGAAACTTATTTCCACCAACAGGGGGCTCACTCTCCTCCAACAGCTTTTCTTACATAGTCAGTAGACTTCCTGGGTTTGTAGAAAAATCCAAAAACTAAAAAAATCCCTTCAGGGATGGCTGAATTCCCCCAAAAAACTTTTGAAATGGCCTCTGCAGGGATCTGCTTCAGGCATCAACAGTGAGAGATTAGAATGTTCAGGGGGGGGCCCTTCTAACTGGCTTTGTTAGTAAAAGGGTGGGGGAAGGGCCCTTTCCAGGCCTCTTTTGGCCTTTCAGGGAGGGAGGAAGGGAGCCTTGGAGCCACGCCTCACAAGAGTTGCTAGTGCCAGGCTGGGGGATTTCTAGAGATTTTGTGGTGGACTCTAAGGTGGGCTGGTTTGGGAAGGGAGAGGCTTCAACTGGGTATAATGCCACAGAGTCCACCCTCTAAAGCAGCCATTTTCTGCAGGGAGACAGACCCCTGCTGTCTAGAGTCCAGTTGTAATTCTGGGGGGTCTCCAGGTCCCATTTGGAGGTTGGCAACTCTAGGCCTGGCAGTAGTCTAGGGTTGCCAGGTCCCCCCTGATTTGCATGACTCACCTAGCCTCAGCTGCTTGCCATTGTTCATCACCAGCCAACCTATGAAAGCCAGTGAGGTGCAGCAGTTAGAGCTTCTAAGTAGGGTCTGCAAGACCCAGTTTCAGATCCCCATCTTGCAGTGGAAGCTGAATGCATGATTTTGGACCAGTCACATATTTCAGCCTAACCAACCTCACAGGGTTGTTGTGCAGATAAAAAGGAGGAGGGAATAATGAAATCTGCTTTGGTCCCCACTGTGGAGAAAGACTGTAATTTTCCTAGGTAGAGGCTGGGGGGTGGAGATGGAAAGCAGAAGACAGAGAGGCAGATAAAGGTAAGTTGGCTGTTGGGTGGGAATAGGGTTGCCAACTCCAGGTTGGGAAATTCCTGGACATTTGAGGGTGGAGCCTGGAGAGGGTGGGATTTCATGAGGGGAGGAACTTTGGACTGGTGTAATGTCATAGACTTCGCCCTCCCTCCAGCCATTTCCTCCACAAGAACCACCATTGCCAGCCTCCAGGTGAGGACTGGAGATTACCAGAATTACAACTGTTGTCCAGGCGACAGAGATCAGTTCCCCTGGATAAAATGGCTGTTTTGGAGGGTTGAGTCTATGGCATCATACCCTGCTGAGGCTACTTGCCACCCCAAGCCTCACTGTCCCAAGGCTCCACCCCCAAATCTCCAGGAATTTCCCTACCTGGAGCTGGCAGCCCTAAGGTGAATTAATCTCTGTAGCTGGGAGATCCATTGTGATTTCCCGACCGCTGCCACTGCTGCTGTGGGGGGAGAGGAAGCAGGTGGGTGGCTAGGAGCACTGCCACCACTGCTGCTGCTGCTCTGCGGAGTGGGGGAGGAAGCAGGCAGGAGGCTGGGAGAGAGAGGGGGGCAGAAAGAAAGAATGATGGGGGTGGGGGCAGAAAGAGAGAGAAAGCGTGATGAAGTGGGGAGGCAGAAAAACAAAGAGAAAGATGACAGGTCAGAAAGAGAGAGGAAGTCACATGCATGGAGGAGAAATAGAGAGTAAGAAAAGGGGGGCAAAAGGGAGAAATAGTGTGAGAGAGGCAGGGAGTGAGGAGAGGAAGCAGAGGTGTGACGAATGAGATAACCATCCCGCAAGTTTCTTGCGTGTCTCCACTTGTACAACATCTAATTTGAACATGGACACTGGTACCAGAGCTTGCAGTAAACCCAAATGCCAACTTTGCTGCCACATACAGCAAGACAACACAATCACTGGACCTAACAACATCAACTACACCATCTCAGGCACATTCACTTGTTCATCTTATAACACTGTATATGTAATTCAATGCCAACAATGCCCTTCAGTTCTCTACATAGGGCAAACCGGTCAAACCCTACACCAAAGGAAAAATGGACAGAAATCTGACATCAAGAATAACAAAACTGAGAAACATGTAGGAGAACATTTCAACCTCCCAGGGCACTCATTGTGGGACCTCAAAGTAGCTGTTTTATTGCAAAGGCATTTCAGAAACAGACTGGAATGGGAGATTGTTGAATTACAAGTTATTACAACAGTCAGGACAATGGAGCCCCCAAGGCTTAATAGAGATATCAGGTTTTTATCTCAATACACAAGCTAAGTCACTTAGTTTTCACTTATACCCAGAATTAAACTTTGTTGGTATTAAAGGTGCCACTGGACTCAAACTTAGTTCTCACATCTGTTTATTAACTCTTTTATCACATGTATGCTAATTTGCTGCTATTCACTCGTCTTACAACAACTGCTTTAATCCAATCTTAGCTATACTTATAGCTCAGTTACTTATGCATCTTGACTGTATTTAGCCCTTCCTGGCAACTAACCTCCCCCCCAATATGTAATGGTTGAGGAAGTCTTGTTTCAATGTATCTGAGGAAGTGTGCATGAACACGAAAGCTTATACCCAGAATTAAACTTTGTTGGTCTTAAAGATGCCACTAGACTCAAACCAAGCCACGTCAGACCAACACACTTGCACACCGGGAGTTATCTTCTCTGCTATTTTTATGGACAGATGTATAAGGGGAAATCAACAAATGAAGCTGTTTCCATGTGTGCATTGCCATTCTGGAAAAAGCAGCAGCAGCAATTGGGAATGAATTGACAGTCTCTTGATTCATTGGGCTTGGAAAGTTCAAATTCTTGGGTTGCTACAGTTGTACAAAAAAGGATACCAGCTCATATTTTATTCTCTCTAACATTCAGTTAAAATGCATAATAAAATATTGGTTTCACATTTCCTTTTCTGAACGGAAATGAAGAGCAGAAAAACAGTAATGAAGGTACATGGACCTACCTGCTTCAAAAGTGGAAACAATGACTGAAGGGCTTGACTTGCCTTCTGTGTGAGCAGCATGTATATCTCCTGTAAAAGCAGTGACCACTACCGAATATCGTGTAAATGCTTTTAAACTTGAAACCTCAAGGATTTTGCTTTCATCGTCTGTTTTGACAAACGAACCTTTATATTCATCAGTATCAACCTGTACAAAACAGAGAGGTTATATATGGAATAGAACAGAAATATTTAACAGAGTGGAAAAGACCCCTTTCTTCTTTCTTCTGTATACATTCACCCCGCCCTTTTTGCATACTGAATTATTCACACCAACATGGCTCCTTTATGAAACTTTAAAAATTAATTTGAAACAGCAAAAACGGTTTGGAACTTAAAAGACAGCTAACTTAAGATATTAGACCGCTAACCAACTTTTATACATTTTAGAGGAAAACATCTAAAAATCTAATAATAATTTCTGTTTTGTATCATGAGGTGTTTTTCTACCCCATAAATTTGTCTCTTGGTGGTGAGATAAATGTTTGCCAGGTTATTAGGAAGAATCATCAGATTGTCATTAAGGGCTCTATCTCCCCAGAGCACTTAAATTTGTTCCCTGCAGCAGTGTTTTCTCATGTTTTACCACAATATGTTAAATGGACTTTAAGTGTTAGCTGGCTGTACTTAGAGGACATAGTTTACTACTGTACAGGTGACAATGTCCAAAAAGGACAAAATTGTTCAACTATGCATTCTGCCAACAAAACTGAAATTGAACCCAATCTTGGATCTACAGTTAAAACTAATATGTATATAAACAAAGTCAGCCTGCTGTGGTGGAGAACTATGGGGCCTTGTCTTTCCTAATTCAAGAATCTGTAGTATTTCCATACTGCCCTCCAAGATCCAGCACCACAGTGCCACAGTCTGGAGCAGATTCTGTAACAAGGAGACTAGATAGCCTTTTGAATGCAGACACTGTCAGAAAGCTCTTTCCACCAGGATCATCTAATTTCTTTATTCCTTTTTTACATGGGATAAACTACAGCATGGGCCTGCCTCCAGCTTCTTATGCCACAGCTACCACACCAGAAGTCACAAATAATCCTGAAGAATTAAGCAACAGTAGAGATATAGGTTATCCAACAAATACAGTACATATAATCATATATAAATTCCCTTCCACATTGGTATCCTCCACATTCTAATACTGGAATCAGAAAACGATTATGGATCTCTGCAGTAGCATACCCTATGGGTCAACTGTGTTGTAAATGCAGCTGCTAACACATTAAGATAGTTCAAGCATATATTTTCTTTGACAGATGTGTCTTAGTAACCCCACTGAGACTTAACCTTAACTAAAGTATCTGATGCTCTAAACAGACACTCATTTTCTGGGATGGCCATCAAGAGTCATAGTTGTGTTTGTTTTAAATACATCACTACTCAATAATATGTAAAAGAGAAATGTTAATGACAACTCTTTCACAATAGCAGTGATAAGCTTTTCTTTCTCCTCTTTCTAAATAGCACCTCTACTCACAAATACTAACTTAGTATTAGCACAATGTGTGTACTACAGGCAAACTGGTATAAATTGGTAGCTAATTCCCTCTAGGGCAGGGGTGTCAAATTTGTTTGTTATGGGGGCCAGATCTGACATTAATGGGACTTTGTCAGACTGGGCCATGTGTGTCATAAAATTTAATGCCAGGTAGCAGAGATATTCCATTGCAGCCCCACCATAGGAGGGATGTGTGTTAAAACTAATATTTCTATGCAAAACTGGAGTTCCATGAGTTTGTAGAACTCTATATTTTAACTGTGGTTGGTCCCAAACCTTTCCCTCCGCCCTTAAAAGATGCCTGCCCAAAATGGAAAGGTGGGGAAACACTGGTATTTGGCAATGCAATTTTTAAAAACAAAACATCAAGAAGAGGCACAGGTAAGTAATTAGTTGTAGATTTTCTGGGCTGTATGGCCGTGGTCTTGGCATTGTGGGACCTGGCGTTTTGCCAGCAGCTGTGACTGGCATCCTCAGAGGTATAACACAGAAAGATGGAGTACTCTCTGTGTAAAGGTGAGAAGAAAAATGGTAGGCAGGGAATTTATATCTACTCAGGAAGGTGAGGTAGGGCTGAGTCATTAAGTAAGTTCAATACTCATGGGATAAAAGGACAAGTCCTTTTGTGGATCAAAAACTGGCTAATTAATAAGAAACAGAGAGTCAGTATAAATGGGCAATTTTCACAGTGGACAATGGTAATAAGTGGGGTAGTACTGGGTCTGATGCTTTTTAACTTGTTCATTAATGATTTGGAGTTGGACGTAAGCCGTGAAGTGGCTAATTTGCAGATGACACAAAATTGTTCAGGGTGGTGAGAACCAGGGAGGATTGTGAGGCACTCCAAAGGGATCTGTCGAAGATGGGCGAGTGGGCGTCAGCATGGCAAATGGGGTTCAGTGTGGCTGAGTGCAAAGTGATGCACATTGGGGTCAAAAATCCTAACTATAAATACAAATTGATGGGGTCTGAACTGGTGGAGACTGACCAAGAGAGAGATCTTGGAGTCTTAGTAGATAACTCACTGAAAATGTCGAGACAGTATGTGACTAGGGGGTGTGAATTCGGTAAAGCCCAATTGAAAAAAAAAACAAAAAAAACCCTTTTTTGGCATTTTTCAGGTATTTGGCATAACGAATCAGATCCCCTGAGCTGATTCAGCTGCTGAATACTGAATGTTGGAAAAAAACCTGAAATTTTTTCCGGCTTTCTTGGGGAGACACTGCGGCCTGCCTTTCCCCCATCCCCACATGAAACAATGAAGGATTGAGGGCACCCTCTTTCGATGCCCCTAGAATTGGACCCCCTGGTCCAATCTTTTCCAAACTTGAGGGGTCTTTTTGGGAGTGCCTCTACCTTTAAATCCCCTCCCCCCAGCCCCCTGAATACTTGTTAGAAGATTTTTGTCATTGACTACAATGGATAGAATGGAGCTGAAAATTTCCCAAAATTTTTCAGGTACCAATAACATACCAGTATTGGTATTTGGGAATATTTGGGAATCCCCTCCAAAATTGGCTTTATTATACCCAAATCTGGGAAAAAAATATTTTTTTTCCTGCACACCCCTATGTGACTGCAATAAAAAAGGCCAAAGTTATGCTAGGGAAAGGAATTGAAAACAAATCAACCAGTATCATAATGCCCCTGTATAAATCGATGATGTGACCTCATTTGGAATACTGTTTACAATTCTGGTCACCACACCACAGAAAGGATATTATAGCATTGGAAAAGGTACAGAAAAGGGCAACTAGAATAATAAAAGGGTTGGAACACTTTCTCTATGAAGAAAGGTTAAAGCATGTTCCGGTCTTCGGCGCTTCAACGATAGCTACGTCTCTTGGCTCCTCCGAGAGACATGTGCAATGAATTGGGGATTAGGAGGGAGCGTGATTGTGCATGCTCCCCCATGGAGCCCATAGGCAATGAGCTCCTAGCCAGGGGGTTTTGGAGAGCCCTACCTCCAGCTGTCAGCCGGCACAGGGGGGCTACTCTCTGCCCCGAAGGTCCTGCCCTAAGTCCCAGTATTAAATTCGAAGCGTCCACTGGGACAAGCGCTTGGAGGTTTAGCGAATTTCTCTTCCTCGTGTGATCCCAGGGGCCGTCTCAGGACCTGGTGGATCGATTCAAGGACTGATTAGTGAGTTTTCGTTGAAACAAGACACCAAAGCCTAGATGTGAAGTCCCCCTACTATAAATGGATGGGGGAGGGGATGCCCTATCTCCCGACGTTCTAAGCGAATGCGAAATCATGATTGGAGGGACTGATCAAATTGTGGTGATGGACTGTAGTGGAGAGTTTTTTCTGAAAGAAAGTTGAGCATTTAAACAGACCTTAGAGACTTCGGCATTCTTTCTCGGCTAATGTAAACATCCCCAAAAGATGGCGATGAGAGGCGAAGAGGGAGGCGGGATCAATGTTTTCTTCAGGAAGCAGAACAGTGGAAAGCTAGGTCATGTGATCTAACCATTGATTCTGTCCTTAAAGTGAATAGCGGGTCCTCTGGTGGCTAAAGTGGAGTAGCGACCTGGATCTGTACTAAAAAAAGTGGCTATATTTTTAAAGGGACAGTATTTGGTTCGTGCTTTGATCATAGAGATTTATGAATGGTAAGGAGATTCTAAAGTTTAGTTTACTTGTGGACTGATTGGCAAGCGAATCAAAAAGCGGGCTTTTTTGGAGTAAAGGGCTTGCTACCCCAACTTCACAAGATCTGCTTGCTAAGAGAAAGGTTGGATTCTCCAATCAGCATTTTTTAATGCAACAAAAGGAAGATGTCCCTGGAAAAAGGAACTTGGTTTATATCATGAATGGACAGATCCGGACTTATAAAAGCTAAAAGTTAACTGGAAACAGAAGATACATCTAAGACGAAAGAAGATAAATTGTTGTAATGTTCTTACTGAGGGAACATTGGTTTTAAAGATTTTGCCTATGGGGGGGGGGGAGCAAAGCGTAAAAGGAGATGCCAATTTTTCTTAAGGGCTGTGGTTATGTGTGTTCTAGTTTTAGAATTACTTTCTGTCTAGTCTGATAAGCTGGTTTTGTCAACAGAAGTGATGATTGGCGGGCACTCTTCATGCTTGAAAGTAACTGAATAAGTGTAATAACCATGTTTTAAGCATTGTAAAACCTCCACACTTGGGTTTTTAGTTAGGTTCTTTTTACTTTTTACTTTAGATTGTAGAATCTTCCCTTCCCAATTTCTGTTGTAGTTTAATAGAAATGCAAATAAAAAATTCCCCTTTGGGGGGCTAAAAAAGAAAGAAAGAAAGGTGAAAGTACTTGGGGCTTTTTAGCTTGGAGAAACAACAACTGAGGGGTGACAGGATAGAGGTTTACAAGATTATGCATGGGATACAGCAGGTAGAGAAAGAAGTACTTTTCTTCCTTTCTCACAATACAAGAGCTTGTGGGCATTCAATGAAATTGCTGAGCAGTCAGGTTAGAATAGATAAAAGGAAGTATTTCTTCACCCAAATAGTGATTAACACAGTGAATTCACTGTCGCAGGAGGTGGTGACGGCTACAAGCATGGACAGCTTCAAAGAGGGAATTGGATAAACATATGCAGCAGAGGTCCATCAGTGGCTGTTAGCTACAAGGTATAGATAAGAACTCTCAGTCTAGGGCAACTGATGTACTGTATTCTTAGTGCTGGGGGGGAACAGTGGGAGGGCTTCTAGTGTCCTGGCCCTACTGGTAACCTCCTGATGGCACCTGGTATTTTTGGCCACTACATGACAGAGTGTTGGACTGGATGGGCCATTGGCCTGATCCAACGTTGGTTTCTCTTATGTTCTTATGTTGTTATCACAGCAGAAACTAAAAATACAAATTAAAAATATAAATGCCCTGAGCCTAGGACCCAGGGGAAAACATGAAATGGCTGAGCACTGCAAGTGTGGCTCTCCAGGTTCTCGGGGGGGGGGGGTTACAGGGGGGTTTGAGGTAATAATTTTGGTTGTCCTCTTCAGCCCTTGTTCTGCTAGTCCATTGGAGCCCCACATTAGGAGGGTGAGCCAGATTAAAGTCCTGGGTGGGCTGGTTTTGGCCTGCAGGCCGTAGGTTTGACACCCTTGCCCTAGGGGGTTGCATTCACCATCCATATGAATTAATAGGCATAAATACAGTTGAACAAATATACACTGATTAATAGGATACTAACAGAAGGGCCGTATAGATAGTGTGCTATGTTTAGTCAAGGGAATTTTAAATCATAGCTTAGTCAGGAAACATGATGGGTGGCTTAAGGAAAGCTACCATCTTTTAGCTAAAAAACAAATTTGCAGTAAGCAGATGTAAATTAAGATCATAGTTATGTACTGAAAACTGCTGCAAGAATTATAAATGTTGCTAAAACATTGTATACTCTTCATTAGAACTAAAATGCATTTTGCATTGGAATAAAATGAGGCTCTGTACAGTGTTGGCTGGATCAGACTTTTTATTAATAATTGACTTGTGAAGGAAAGTTAACATAAAGTTAACTTACATATGTACAAAATTCATTTTAAAATTACCATGCTTGATATAAAAATATATCTCTGACAATATTCACATCAACTGAAATATCAGAAAAGGAATGCTGTTAAATACTGCTTGGTTGTGGAATCTGAAGCAGTAGCACTCAGTTTCCCTAGAGAGCTACAACATTTTATTCCAGGATTTTCACTACAGTCAGACTGATGGTTTTATTGGGCTTTAAGCAGTGGTGGGACCTGTCTATATAGACTTTACACCTGTAGTTACTGATCATATATAAGACAATGCTAAACAAGAAGCCATTCTTAAACAGAAAGTCCAATAAAGGAAAAAAGAACTGAAGGTTATATTTTCTTAAAGTACAGTTCTCAAAAATTCCAAAGCTCCTGAACCATTCAATTTAAATTAATTTTGTTCGAGTTAACACAGTTAAAATTAGTGAGAGCAAACTGGTTTAACTGGGCAGTTGATTGAGTTGCCCAGCATTAGATCACTGGCTTATTATATTTCAGTGCCACTTTACCCCAAAGGATGAAAAGTACCTTAACCTAAAATGAAATTTCAGAAAAACAAGATAACATAATAGAATACAGCGCTAAAATATTTTAAAAACACAAACCTTTCAGCAAAGGAAGTTGCAAAAGTCATCAGACAACTACAAAAAAAAATTGTGTGCACACTCCAAGATCACAGGATATTTGCAAAAATTCTATGAGGTTTACAGGTGTTTAAATGGTACTAGGTACAGTTAAGTTAGGTAAAGCTAAGTTATAGTTAGGTTGTTATGAAATAACATGGAGAATACGTAGAGATTTCTCTTCTTGATGTAAGTTCCCTCTGCCTTCTCTTATGACATATACCACTTTCTCTATCATCTCCCAGCAATTCCTTCTACTTTTAGCCAATTGTAAAGTTTCCCTCAGCTTCTACACTAGAATTCAGAAGAAAGGTTTTCAGAGCGGATATTTTTTTTAAGTAGTAAATTAATTTCACTGAAGTATATATATAGCAGAAGGGACTTACCGAAGTAATGTCAATGAGATAGAATGTTGGTCCAGTAATGATGGCAGGTTCACTCCAGCTAATATTCATACTGTAAGGAGATGTAACTATTACAGACACATTTTCTGGAGGAGCATCTGGAGCTACAAAAAAAGAGTGGAAATATGTAGATCAAGAGATCTATTTCAACACACTTCATTCAAACCAATGTAATCAATACATTTCATTCAAAACAATCAATAAGAAAGTCAATACAAATTAACTTGCATTCCCAGTTAACGAAGAACTTTGATGTAATATCAGAGACCAGATGACTCATTTGTAGATGCTTCCAGTGTTGCATATATCAATTTTAACAGTAACCATGATAGAAACATAGGAACTGACTCTAAAAACATTATTTGGTGCCTACTATATAATAATATGGTTCTGTAACATTACTCAATACTTTAAAAAAATAGCAAAACTGGGTTCTGGTTTAACAATTTAACAGTTTAACAAATTACAGTGGTAACCAGATTATTTTATGTAAAAAGTAATACCTACCATGTGCAGATATTTGTGGACAGATTTAATATAAGATCAAATTTAAATGATGTTTCTCCAATATTAGGTATTACCCATATTGATGATACATTGATGACTATTTGCATATTATCCGGGCATGCCTATTAGTGAAAGAGCTCCAACCTGGGAATAACTGCTAGTAAACAAGTTGTTGTTTGAGGCAACAAAGACAATTGTCCTTAATGACCTTTCCCCCCTTTGTAAGTAGAAGCTTTTGGAAACCCCCTGCAACTGCTGGGTTTGGGCACTGGCAGTCAAGTTAAGAAAAGTAACTATGGGTTGAGCTCAGCCCATGGTAGCCAGCATGCATGTGGCCACCTCAGTCTGTGGCAACATCACTGGAAACCAACATGGCCTGAGTGAAAGCTACAGCTGACACAGGCTCAAAGGGACTTCTCATATGAATTCGTTTAGGATCGGGACATTAATATATTTCAAAACCTTCTTCAAAAGTGCCTTGACATTCCTTCACTGGCTTTCATCATAACTAAAGAATGTTCACCAAGAAATAGAATTAACATCAATTGAGTGGTATAAACTAAAACATGACTGGAAACTGCAGATGTGTTAGCTTCGATATAGAAGCTTTACAACAAACATCTTACATAAACAAACTTGTGCCAATGGTAACTGTCACCTACTGATTTAAGACTGTTTGTGAAATGAGTCTAGCCACTAATGGGGTAAGATATCACTATACCCTTTTTCTTATAAATCATGGCAATTTACTCAGTAGGAATGACCTAGTCTTATTCACTCGTTCCCCCCATAATCCAATCACTTCCTCTCATGAGCACTTTTCTCCTGGTTTTCACAATAATGCATTTTCTGTAACTAATAACCATCATTTCCTGATTATCATGCTTCTATGCTTGCACAGGAATGTGGGTCTTATGGAGGTCAGGGTCATTTTTTCCCATCCATCTGTGTCCTGATGCTAAGGCAGCAGTTTTGGTTAGCTGGAAGGTACGTCTGGCTAGCTTATCATCTTACAAAGCAGGTCTTCAAAAAGGCTGATTCACTGATGCTCAGATACATCCTCTGACCCAAGGTCTGTTCATTTAACTTTGGGCTGTACTGGCAGAAGGCTTTTAAAGATAAAGCTATTATTACCCAAGTCTTTTGATGTAAATTCATGATTGCCTTCTTACTACAGGGTAAAAATTATGTCAAATCTGATAACTTGGGGGGGGGGGGAGGGAGAGAATTGCCTCCAACATTTAAGAGATGAAAATGACCGAGGTGAAGTAAAGTAAACTTTGTTTCATTATGGAAACTTCTATAAGAAATTATGAGTTTACTAATGGTGATCCAGTATTGTTCCCTCTTCCCTTTAATCCACCAGAAGCAAGTCTACAGGAAATGTTACCTGGTGAAACTTTAGACCATAAGGCATATAGAGGGAAGGGAAGCAGTTAAAGCCGAGGCAGGGAGGGTGGGATATAAATTAAATAAATAAATAAAGTCAAGGTTAGTCATTTCTCACAGGTTGGTTTCAGTGGAAATTCACTGATCACACCAGTGCCTAACAGGGACAATTCGCAGATTTTTTTCAAAATACCCTGGGGCAAGTATAGGTAGATCAGATAGCAACAGAGATAATTTTGGATTCTTAGACTTCAGCTCCTGTGCTGTAGTTCTTATTTTGTTTTGATGCATTTTGTCCCTCATTGTACAGATAACATATTTATGCAGGAACAATAAGGAGACAGCGAGGAAGAAGCTAAATTTATTGTGACTTTTAAATGTAATGTTGTATAGGCACAACTATGCAGCCTATCCACAACTTGAAGGATGGGCAACAGTCCTGTGCAGATGACACTGCAGGTAGAATAAATTTGTAAAATGGGGAGAGTGGGAGCTTGTGGACCCCCTTCGCATGTTTAGCCTACCTTCTGAAAAAAGGCTAGATGCATACAAGTTGTAGAGTCATACATTCTCTCTGTATTATCTATACCTCACATTTTTTTTGCCTATGTACAGTTTTGGATGAACCCTTCAAGGTAAGAGCAGGGACAGAAGGCATGAACCTGACACTCTTCCCACTTCCTGCATGTTCATTTTGCCTATACTGTCATTTATACAAGGTTAATCTTTCACAGGGGATCTGTTTATACTGCTATGTAAGGAAACTTAGGTTCAGATCTGGGATGCAAAGCATCACAACAATCTGGTAAGCAGAAATTCAGCATGTAAAGTTTTGCATCACTGAATCTGCATGCCAGGAAAAAACTTACCAATGAAGCTTCTGTTTTACTTTCCTAGTGTTGTAGGTAGCAATGTGCAAATTAGGACTGGACTCCTAAACAATGGATGAACAGTTTATACCCTAGATTACAAACTGTAATTAAAATGTCTTCATCTGCTGTGAAACAAACTTATGCTTTAAGATTAAAGTAACTATATAGAGTTATATTCACTAGAAAACAGATCTCACAGCAAAGTGGTTGTATAATTTATCAGCAGTGCAATAACAGGGCCATCAAACTATTTTATGAGACAGAAAGACAGTCCCTAAGAGAACAGTCTATAAAACATAAGGCTTGGTTCTCTATCTAAACGTGGAAGCAGAAACAGCATTGGTGACACAATTCCAGGGCATTCTCCAAAACTTCTTAAATGGACTTTGTGTAATTCTGTTTAGGATTGCACTGTTCAAAAGGTAATATTGGTGTAACTGTAGGTACGACAGTGAAAGGTTTTTAAAAGTTCATTATCATGACTCTTCACAGAACTACTGTTTTTAAAATGGAAAGGAGTCAGTTCTATACAAACACCTACATTTTCCTCTGATTTTTTCTTTCAGATGATAACCCATATCTCTCTCAGTACTCAGAGGCAGTCTAGAAATTTGTGGTGGTGGCTTCTTAAGAGATGTGTTGTCAGTGCTTGTATATTTTAAAACCTCTTTCTTAAATCCCCAGATTAAACAACAGTGGGTAACAACATGGAAATTCTAAGAATAATTTTTGGAGTGAATATTATCTTGATATTCCTAGATGACTCTTCCACTGAAAACTTGGAAGGCAGAACCACTAAGTCTTTAAATTACTGCAGTCTTCCATAAAGGGAAACATGAACATTTCCACTTGTTTATATTAAACATTTTCCACAATATGAAAAAACTCTAGATTCAGCAGCTGTTTTTTTCAAAATTAGCACAACAAGCAGCTGCTAGGATCGGCCAAGGGAGAAATCTTTCCCAGAACTGCTGATTATCAGTACAGTTTCCTACACAAATCAAGAACATTAAGTCTGTTTTTAAAAGTTTTAAATCCACCAGTTATGTCAATTTAAGGAACCGAAAAGAGATTATATATTTTTTGCTTCGAAAGGTTCATCTTAAAAAAAAACTTTAGACCATATTTTACACCAATATATGAGGAAATGCCCCGTTAGTATCAGCAGCTTGTTTTGTACATTATTAACATGATTTTCTATTTTCTTTGGCTAGGGTCTCTTTTTGTGGAAACTGAAATAGTCACAGGAAACAGAAACAAACAGCTAACATGCAGTGTAACAGTACTGTTTTAAAACACTCTTCCTCTTTCATGGCTATCATACTATTCTGAACATTTAAACTCTGGATACATCAGGATGTCCTTTTGATAGGCACAAGATAATTGTATGACCAAGTTCATGTGTGTTATTTGCTCCTCACCTTGAACGATTTTATGTCAACATAAAACTCAGAAGGATAATAATTATTCTTACTTACAGCCAGGTAGAGTTTGTGTAGAAATCCAAGATGAAGGGCTGCCATAACCTGCATTTGTGCTAGCAGAAACTCTGAATCTGTACCATCTGAATTTTTTAAGATCATGCACTGTTTCCTCTGTAAAAGTGCCACTATGATATGAATATTGGTCCTTCTCATGTTTAATACATTCAGCAGCTTCCCAGTTACTGCAATGGATAGATCGCAACTGTGAAGTAATCTTGTAGTTTAGAAAGTAGCCAAAGATAGTAACTGGCTTTCTCCATCTCAAGGTCACACTGGTTGACTGTACATTTGCAAATGCAATATCTCTGGGGGCACTAGGAACTAAACAAATAAAAACAATTTTTTAATATCATGTACCTCATTTTACAATCAGAAGCAATCTGTGCTTGTTGAAAACAAAAATTACACTGAATGAATGAGGCTGTACGTGAATTAAATATTTATCAGCAAGATTAATCCTGCTCCATTTAATTATCTCTTTATTAATAAATGCTTCATATTTTGATGATGAAATACATAAGCATAAATAATAGATACTTCCCTTCATTACTGACATAAGAATAATTGCCAATATATCAAGGAAAATAAGTTAAAAAACAGGCTTAGTAATGTATAATACAATGTAGAACTTTTCTGTGACCTGTTAGAAAGGGTATTATTGTTGTTGCTACCTTGGCAGGGAGAACATAATATTTAGTACAGTTTTGAAATTAAATACACCGTCTTTTAATGCCAACTGCAAGACTTTTTCTTCACCTTTGAAATCCCAGGTTCTCAGATGCTCTCTTGAAATATCTGCCCAGTCAAATTTCTATGAACAATGCATTTATAAAATATGTATATGCTGCCATTGCTCCAAAATTGGTTAAGGCAGCTTACAATCTTACGGAAGCAAGAGCTCATGCATTTCTTATGGATGCAGGAACTCTGTTCTCTCAAAGTTCTCTCACCTTCAAGAACATTCCACATTTATTGTCAAGAAGAAAATGCATCTGCTTGCACATTCCTCTGTGGATGTCTGCTCTGCTCAAGTGAGTGAGGAAGCACTCACATACAAATGTCCCTATGCTGACTGAGTCTCACATACTATTAAGCATTTCCTGAGTATTTTATTAGTCAATAGGGATGTTGCCAAACTACCTACAATTTGTTCATATACTCCTTGGTGCTGGGACCAGTTCCCTTTATGCTTTTGCATCAAGCTACTATACAGACCTCTGGTCATTACAGAAACAAAAGCAGCAGAAGGAAAACTGTACCTTATTCAGCTATAATAACTGGAGTAGAACAGGTGATTTGGGGAGTTACCTGAAAGAAGCATCACCATGTCCAACACTGTACATTCAGTCCATTAATCAACAACCCTCATTAATTAATCAGCGTGCCTTTAGCCCTAGCAGAACTTGTCACTAAAAGTATTTCCATCACCTAAACACTGGCTCCAAGTCCATATTTGCACAAGAAAAGCCTCTGTTCCACTTTGGATTATTTGTGTAGTTTGAATGCCCATCAACCTCACCTCTCTTCTTAGACTGAACCTGGTCTCCAAACACACACACCTCCCCACTTGGAACTGTCCTTATCATACTTAATATGGAATATCCTCAGGACCCTGTACTCCCCCCCCCCACACCCACAAAGAGCAGTCAGGGTACTTACCTGAGCTTTTCCCTCCTGTCTTTCTAAGCCAGGAAAGAAAATCATATATTTCTTTTTTATACTCTGCTGCTTGTAAAACTATAAATTTCCCCAAGGGGTATAGTTTTACTGAATACAGACCACCCAGGGTTGTGGAGCTGCTTAGGCTCCCATCTGATGATGATGGTATATGACCTTTAACTTTCTGTTTGGGGATTATTTGCTACCCAGATGTGTGGAGCCCTGCCTTGGTGTGTGAGCCCCCACTTGGACCATCTCGCAAGCTCTCTCCCCCTCTGTCGTTTTGGCTGCCTACCTTCTCTCATGAACAGAATTACTCGCATAGCATTTGGGTGCCTGGAATAACTGACACTTTGTTAAGGTTCTGGTACTGAGCAGTAATGGTGGTGGTGGAAAGTGCTGTCAAGTCACAGCTGACTTATGGTGACCTTGTGGGGGTTTCAAGGCAAGAGACATTCAGAGGTCATTTGCCATTGCCTGCTTCCATGTCATGACCCTGGTATTCTCTGGTGGTCTCCTATCCAAATATTAGCCAGGGCCAACTCTGCTTAGCAGCTGAAATCTGATGAAATCAGGCTAGCCTGGGCTATCCAGTGATAAGCAGTGGTTAATATTTTTTTGGGGGGGGAAGGCAGAAGAAGGAGGAGGAGGAGGAGGAGGAGGGGGGGGGATTGGATTTATACACCGCCCTTCACAACCCAAAGGTGTCTCAGAGCGGCTTACAAACTTCTTTCCCTCCCTCTCCCCACAACAGACACCCTGTGAGGTGGGTGGGACTGAGAGAGCTCTTGACAGAAACTGCTCTTTTTCAAGAACAGCCCTTATCAGAACTATGTCTTGCCCAACGTCATCCAGCCAGGTGCAAGTGGAGGAGTGCGGAATCAAACCCATTTCTCCCAGATTAGAGTCCGTGCACTTAACCACTACACCAAAAGGCAGCATGGTATAGCCTAATCCTGTCAGATCTCAGAAGCTAAGCAGGGTTGGAACTTGGAAGGGAGACCACCAAGGAAGACTCTGCAGAGGAAGGCAATGGCAAACCATCTCTGCTAATCATTTACTTTGAAAGCCCCATGCTGGGGTTGCCATAAATTGGCTGCAACTTGACAGCATTTTACACACACACATTGTTTTGGATAATTGAGATTTGCTAATTATCCAACTCAGATATTTTATGAATCTCTATAATCTATGTCCCCCTCATGGATCACTGCCTTGTCGTGGCGAGGGGGCTTGCGTGGTTCGATGAAGCTGTGGGCTATGCCGTGAAGGGCCACCCAGGATGGAAAGGCCACAGCAGAGAACTCAGACCAAGTGTGATCCCCTGGAGAAGGTAATGGCAACCCACTCCAGTATCTTTGCCAAGAAAACCCCACGGACAGTATCAAAAGGCTAAAAGATATGACGCCGGAAGATGAGCCCCTCAGGTCGGAAGGTGTCCAATATGCTACTGAGGAAGAGCAGAGGGCAAGTACAAGTAACCCCAGAAAGAGTGAAGCGGCTGGGCCAAAGCCGAAAGGACCCTCAGTTGTGGATGTGTCTGATGGTGAAAGGAAAGTCCAATGCTGCAAAGAACAATACTACATAGGAACCTGGAATGTAAGATCTATGAATCAAGGTAAGCCTGACGTGGTCAAAAATGAGATGGCAAGACTGAACATCGATATCCTAGGAATCAGTGAACTAAAGTGGACAGGAATGGGCGAATTTAACTCAGAAGACCATTATATCTACTACTGTGGCCAGGAATCTCGTAGAAAAAATGGTGTGGCCTTTATAGTCAACAAGAGAGTGCAAAAGGCAGTACTGGGATACAATCTCAAAAAGCAAAAGTGGGCTGAAAGCAAAATGAAGTCTAAACTAAGATCATGGCATCCGGCCCCATCACTCTTTGGCAAATAGAAGGGGAAGTCATGGAAGTAGTGACAGACTTCACGTTCCTGGGATCCCCGATCACCGCAGACTGTGACAGCAGCCATGAAATTAAAAGACACCTGCTCGTTGGGAGGAAAGCGATGGCGAACCTAAACAGCATGATAAAAAGTAGAGACATCACCCTGCCAACAAAAGTCTGCATGGTCAAAGCAATGGTATTCCCAGTAGTCATGTATGGCTGCGAGAGTTGGACTATAAGGAAGGCTGAGCACCAAAGAATAGATTCTTTTGAACTATGGTGCTGGAGAAGACTCTTGAGAGTCCCTTGGACTGCAAGAAGATCAAATCAGTCAATCCTAAAAGAAATCAACCTTGACTGTTCCCTGGAAGGCCAGATAATGAAACTGAAGCTCAAATACTTTGGCCACCAAATGAGAAGGGAGCACTCACTGGAGAAGACCCTGATGCTGGGAAAGATTGACGGGGACGGCAAAGGATGAGATGGTTAGACAGTGTCATCAATGCAATGAACATGAAATTGAGCCAACTTCAGAGGACGGCAGAAGACAGGAGGGCCTGGCGGGAGCTGGTCCATGGGGTCGCGAAGAGTCGGACTCGACTGTGCGACTGAACAACAACAACATAATCTATGTACTATTAGCCACCTGTGCCTCCCATCTGCAGATAGCTAAATCTGTGGATCACGGACATGTGGAGGCTAAACAGGTTTCTCAAACTTGGGGCAATCCTCAGGTTTGCAGAAAAATCTTAAATCTTTAAAAAAACTATATGGGGGGAGTAAAGTAGCATTCTCTGCTTCAATATTCATTGGTGGCACAGGGGAGCAGCACGCCATCACCAACAACCCATGAGTTGCACTGGGCCGAGCGGCAGCTGCATAGCCTGAGAGCCCCACTGCAACCAGCAATGGTGGCTGCGCAGCATGGCAAAGCCCATGAGTTGTACTGGGGGGGAGGGAATCCTCCCCACAAGTATCGCAGGCCTACACTTGAGCGGCTCCCAGACAATGTTGCAGGGACCAGGGGGAAGGAAGCCTTGGTGAGCCCACTGGAGCAGCTGCAGGCAAGCTGCCAAGAGTGAGAAGGGAGGAAGGAAGCCTCAGCAAATTGGTGAGAGCAGGGAGGAGGTGGTGGGCCTGGCAGTTGCAGGGGAACCCAAAGCCACAAGAGTCCTGATGAGAAAGTGTGGAGGCGGAGATGGGATTCCCCCTGTGAGTTTTTTTTTATAAACTCTATTCTTGTCTTCATTTTATCCAAATGTCAATATTCTTTAGAACCTTGTAGTGTTCCCTCAACACTTAGTCATAGATCCTTTATTATGTTTGTGTGACTGCCTAGTTTTTTTAAAAAAATTCTGTTTGTGTTTGTGCCTGTGCCTGGAAGTCATGGTGACCTCTGGCAACTCCTACTGGGGCATGAAGGACATTCAGAGTAAAGTGGCTTGATAGTTTGCCTCTGCCTCCCAACCCTGGTATTCTTTGGAGGTATCCCATCCAAATACCTGCCAGGGTCAGCCCTGCTTAGCTTTTGAAATCTGACGAGATCGGGCTTGCCTGGACTATCCAGGTAAGGGTGGTGAATGCCTAGGTTTGATAATTTTAAAGCAATGGACCACATCATGCCAATCCCTCTCACGATAATTTTAAAACTCATTGTAAACATTCACCAACAGCTCCATGGGCATGGAATTTGAGGCAGTGGATGGAAGGTATCTTCCTTACATTTGAGTTGTTTTAGTGTGATTTGGGGCTCCAAGGAATTGGAAAG